CCTTGGTGTCAGCCAGCCCTACGTCCAGCAGCTCCATAGCGTGGGCAGTGTGGTGCCTCGTGCCCATCACCTCTCCCTTTCATCTTGCACCCTGACACCAGTGAGGAGCTGTGCATGGTCCCCCTGGACCTCAGCATGCCTCCAGCTGTGGGGACAAACCACCTCATCCTGTTATCTCCTCTAGGCTGGGAGTAGGGTAGTCATGCACCGACAAAAGGGGTGCTGCTGCTGCAAGCAGATAAGCAGAGGTTTCTGATGCTCACGAGCTGCATGACTATGGGGGCAACCAGCAAGAGCCATGCCTCAGGCTGGCGTGCCATGAAGATGAGAAAGTCCCTGACCAGCAGCCAGACCCGTCCCTTCCCATCACACTTGCAAACAGCGCAAGGAATAGCTGTGTAGTGGTGCAGTCCCACGGTAAGGAGCTAGAGAGCACCCTGAAATGGGGTAGAGCAGAAGATTTAAAAGAGAGGGGAGTACTTTTTCCAAGAAGGACTTTGCTCTGCCAAAGATGCTGAGAGCTCAGCAGATCTATGGAGATGAGCTCCTCTGCAGTCATGAAATCAGATGGTTCAGGTGCAGTCTCAGCCCCCTGAATCCAGTACAGCCTTTCTAGCCTTTGCCTCCTTTGGGGAGGCAGGAGCAAACACGTGGCTCCAGCCCTAGTCTAGAAGAGCAGGGGCAGCTGCAGGGTCAGCTCCTGGCCAAAGCAAGACTTGCTCCGCTCCTGGTCATGCACTTGAGCAGGGAAGGCAGAGCCCCCACTGCACCTGCCTGAGCTATCTGCACCTGGACAGAGCATTTTGTTTCTGCTTTGTCCCCTCTTCGTGCCAGGCAAGGTGTAGGCCTCACATTGGGGTCTTCAATATCTGCACCAGGCCTTTGCAGAGAAGCTTGTCCCAGTGCCATGCCCTGCATGTCAAACTGCATCTGGAGGGACTGGGAGACTCAAGGTAGGCAAGCAAAAACTTATTCTCTCTCTACTGCAGCTCCTACAGTCCTTGCCCACCCACCACACCACTCTGTACAGCTTTGCTCCCCACGGCAGAGGGTAGCTCCAGGTGAGCCAGCCCCCAGGAGCTCCCCCCATGTTGACCTTGGGAGGTTGCCAGCCCTGGGAGCCCAGCTGAGAAACGGCAGGGGGAGGCAAGCTTTAATTTATAAGTGATCCCCCCCACCCTTGCCTCAGGTTGTTTAAACTTTCCTGCAGTGCGACCCAGAGCCAACATTGTCAGCCTTTCAATTACAGGCTGACTCAAGATCCAGCATCTCCCCTGCATCTCTGCCAGCTCATTTTCTTGGATCACTTGCTGGGAAGGAGACTCCCAGATGGAGAAATAACCTGCTCCAGGTCAGGGATTAGAACTGCATAGATCAAGTTAAAATCCCCCTTTTCAGCTCATTAGCTGTTTGCATGGATTCTTGCACCCTGCTCTGGGAGAAGCCCTACCTCAGGCTAATGGAGTAGCACAAGAGAAAAGAGAAAAAGTTAATTAGGAGACCACTCCTTGCTTTAGAGCCAGGAGCAAGTTTGGCTATGGGGCACATGCTTTTACAGGGGTCTGACAGACAGCTGAAGTATTTGAATTCCCAGCTCCAGACTCTCAGTTAGACTTCCAGGCACGCTGAGCACTGGCAGCCCTACGTGGATTACTTTAGCAGGGCTCTGCAGAGGGAGAGACAGGAGAAACATGATCCCCCTCCCTGCTATGCCTCAGGGCAGCCAGCAGCATGGAAAACCCAGAACTGACTGCTCCTCTATGCATGGAGAGACCACAGGCAGCCAGTGCCCCAATGGGACAGGTCCTCACTGCTCATTTTGACGCTCCTCCCCTTGCCCTGCAGTTTCTCCCCAGGGCAGAGGGCTCACAACACTGTTACCCACCCTAGCTCACAGGGCTCAACCCAGCCTGTGGCTGAACTTCTCCTGGAGCAGCAGGTACAGCCACATCTGAGGGACCAGGAAAGCTCATGGGTAGGACTGCAGTGGCCAACATAAGAGAGGGAAAAATCCCCACAGATCAGGTTGCTGGAACACCAAGACAAGAGAAAGAGAGGTTTTGCTGGTCACAATTTATTTGGCAAACTTTCATTCATGCATGCACAAGCCTTGACCTGCGAGTTGCTTCTGGCCAAGCTATACAGTTTCCAAGTCACATTTAGTTAAATACAGCCCAGGATTTTCTTCTCTGGAAGGAATTGTAAGACCAGGATACCAGACCATTTATAATCCAAGCTGCCTTCCCAGAAATGAAATAGCTTATTCCTCCTCAAACTCTTCTCCATCTGCTGAGTCCCTTCCAACCTCCTCGTAATCCTTCTCCAGGGCAGCCAGGTCTTCCCTGGCCTCCGAGAACTCCCCCTCCTCCATGCCCTCTCCCACGTACCAGTGCACAAAGGCTCGCTTGGCATACATCAGGTCAAACTTGTGGTCCAGGCGGGCCCACGCCTCCGCGATGGCCGTCGTGTTGCTCAGCATGCAGACGGCCCGCTGCACCTTGGCCAGGTCCCCCCCGGGAACCACCGTGGGCGGCTGGTAGTTGATGCCCACCTTGAAACCCGTGGGGCACCAGTCCACAAACTGGATGCTGCGCCGGCGCGGGTCGCATTTCACCATCTGGTTGGAGAACTCAAAGCAGGCGTTGGTGATCTCTGGCACCGACAGCTGCTCGTGGTAGGCTTTCTCCGCCGAGATGATGGGAGCATAGGTTGTGAGCGGGAAGTGTATCCGAGGGTAGGGCACCAGGTTGGTCTGGAACTCAGTCAGGTCGACATTCAGAGCACCATCAAATCTCAGGGAGGCAGTGATGGAAGAGACGATCTGCCCAATCAGCCTGTTGAGGTTGGTGTAGGTGGGACGCTCAATGTCCAGGTTGCGGTTGCAGATGTCATAGATAGCCTCGTTGTCCACCATGAAGGAGCAGTCCGAGTGCTCCAGGGTGGTGTGGGTGGTGAGGATGGAGTTGTAGGGCTCCACCACTGCAGTGGAGACCTGCGGGGCTGGGTACACGGAGAACTCCAGCTTGGATTTCTTGCTGTACTCCACAGAGAGCCGCTCCATGAGGAGGGAGGTGAAGCCGGAGCCCGTGCCTCCCCCAAAGCTGTGGAAGACCAGGAACCCTTGGAGGCCGCTGCACTGGTCAGCCTGCAGCACCAAGGAAAGAGCCAGGAAGGTCAAGTTAGTGAAGTTATTCCAGGCTCATTGCATTTTTAACTCAAATTAAGCTAAGTGCTGGGTTCAATCATCAGGTTTAAGGCCATATTGCTATACTGCTTAAAAGCATCTTCCACTTCTCACCTGGTGTCATCTCTATTAGAAGTAGAAAGTCTAGTCACTTCAGTTACTTTTATTTTAGCAGGGATAGATGCCTGGCCTGGGTGACATTTTGGGCCAGATAGCTCATTATACTAGCTGCTAAGAGGAGAGTCGGGAAAAATTTGAAGGCCACTAAGAGGGTATAGCTAAAAAAAAGAAAAAAACCCAAGAATATCTGAATGCTACCGTAACACTTCCAAAAGTCCACGTGGGAGAAAGCTTCTGCTCCAAGGGCAAATGCATAGGCATGGCAGACATGCACGGAGATATCAGCCAGAAGGTGGGATGTGACATCAGTTTGATGTCCAAACTGCAGAGTACAACTGCTGCATTTTGATTTGAAAGACTGACAGACCAACTCAAGGTTAAACATAGCGGATACTACACCCAAGGGAAACTCACTTTACTGGACAGTTAAGGCATAGGAGACTTTTTGCAGAAGCCTGCTGCTTTTTCTACTGCTTAAGCTAGGCGCATTATCAGCGCCTTGGTTTCCCCTTCAGTCCCAATCAGTAAAACACCCCCTTGCCACCACATGCATCCCATCATGTTGTCCCAGGTTAGTTATGGTCAAACTGACAGTCCTCCATGCAACCACCCCTCTACTGCCTCACTTGATAGCCACGGCAACTGCAGCCAGAGAGCATTAGGAATAGAGTGTCTCCAGGGGGTTGTTACCATTTTACGAGCCCTGTCAACAACAGGGTCAATGATCTCTTTCCCAATGGTATAGTGGCCTCGTGCATAATTGTTGGCAGCATCTTCTTTGCCACTGATGAAGGTCCCAGTCCTGATCTCATCTGGAAGAGGTTGTAAGCTCATGAGTGTCACTGGCATAAGAAATGCCATCTACCAAGATGCTTGCACTAATTTGATTAGATTAGCTTTCACGTGAAAGCTAGTGACCTCACCAGGAGTTCTGGTGGCCAACACAGAGATCAGGTCAGAAAGAAGGCTGGGTAAGCCCAACAAAGCATTTGCAGACCTTTCATGCCTTACCAATGACAGTGGGCTCCAGATCAACAAATATTGCTCTGGGCACATGCTTCCCTGACCCAGTCTCACTGAAGAAGGTCCCAAAGGAAGAGTCTGCTCGCCCCGAGGATGCCTTGGAAGAGATGATGCCATCCGGCTGGATTCCATGTTCCAAACAATACAGCTCCCAACAGGAATTGCCCATCTGGACACCAGCTTGGCCAACGTGGATAGAAATACACTCCCTCTGCATGGGGATGGAAGACAGGAGAAGGTTATGAACACACACGGGGTGGCACCTCAGGGTGTCCTTATGGAGCACACAGCAGACAGGTCTGGAACACCCATGGCACAGGACAAGAGGAGCATTAGCACAGCTTGGAGGACCCTTCCTCCATAGCAGGCACCCAAGAACTGTTGGGCTAACAACAGCTAAGCATTAGTCCCTCAGAAGTGGGCAATCTCACATTAAGGCAGGTACAGACATCAAGACATTGCAGTAGGTCTCTCTACAGCCCAGCACTGTCATTACACTGCACAGCAGACCTGTTCCTAGGACAGCCAGCAAGGCAGGCCATCAAGACCAGCCCCTGAGCCTACAGTATGTCATAACTATCAAGTCAGACTGCTCATGCTTTCTCCTTGCTCTGCCAATCTTGCTTTGGGGCAGGAGGCAGGGCGCACACAGCCTTCCCGGGTACTTCACTTGGTGCCCTCAGCTAGGGAGGGAGGGAGGGACTGACTGATTCAGACTAGCCAGCTTTATTTCCTCATCTCTGCTTAGATCAAGATCAGCTGTGCAGGAACAACCAGCTGGAGACAGCTAGAGGGGATACGAGTGGGGATGGATAGGGACTGATTATTCACCATCTCCATATGAGGACCAGCAATTGCTCCACGAAGCTACCAGGTTTGAACCTAAGGAGGAGACCCTTTGCACAAGGCATAGCTAAGCTGTTAACTCCCTGACACTGGAGATGGTTGAAATTAGACTCTTGGCCTCAAAGAGAGGCTGGACTAGAGATATCCACTGAGGGTTACTAGAAGGAAAAGCTACATTCAATTCAGGAACCTCTCCTCTACAAGGGATCTAAGCTAGGAAAGTCTCAGATACACTTACCCAAGACTTAGTCTGCCCTAGCCCCCTACTTTCAGCAGGGGTCTGGACAGGACACTAGGCTGGACACCCAGCACAGCCACTCAAATTATGTTCTTGCAAGAAACTAGCACAACAGGGCCCCCACCAAGCACAGAGCACCCCACACAAGGCAACATCCTACACTGAAGGAAAGGGTCCTGCCTTGAGGGGGCATATTTGACTTGCCAGCTCTACACTCACCACAGAGCATTTATCTTCCTATTTAGGAAGCAGCCTTGGGACAGCCTTAACAAGGCCCCCAACACCAGGGCCAGAACAGGGGTGCTGAGCCAGTCTCCACAAGGCCAGGCCTTTACTGGCCTGCTCCAGGTCTACCCAACCCCACAGCAGCACAGGAGGGGAGACCCAGCTCAGTCTTTTATCAGACCTGGCCAGGAAAATCTTCAAAGAAGCTTTGCATAGAGGTACAGGCAGGCCTGAAAGTGCTTCAAAAATAGCAGACCCCATCAGCAAGCCCTTCTCCAGGCCAGAAAGAAGAGGTAGACACCAGACTTACAAACCCAACCCAGGCTCCCCACTCTGGAGACTCCCATGAGCACCAGCTCTCCATTACAGGAGCTCTTTCTCCAAATCTCTCATGCACCTCAACTCATGGCTGCTTCCTCATCTTCCCCCAACAGGCACAAATGAAAAGAAAAGTTACCTCCAGTCTCAGCTTCCTGCAGAGCTGGGAAGGACCAGCCATAGCAACTATTGCTACTCAGCAAGCAAGCAAGCCTGCCTGCCTGCCCTCCCTCCAGCTCCACAGCTACTCACCATGACTCCAAACCACCTGAACTCCTCACTGAAATCTCACTCCACTTCCTTCTCAAGGCATTTTATAGCAGGAGAGCTGAGCTTGCTGTTAAAGGGGCAGCAGGGCTCCCTCCTGGCTTCTGTCCTTTCCTCATACACACACCTGCTAGCCAAGTTTTCCAACATTTCCACTCCTAAAGAGGTGGCAACCTGGGGCAATTAACTTACTTCGAAGGAATTACTCCAGGAGACCTGTAGAGTTTGGGATTTCTTTGTCTTCTAAACACTAATTTAGCATTGCTAACCCCAGTGAGTTTAATATCAAATTCTATGAAATCAGGAAAATATCTTCAAATATTTTTGAGGGAGCATCAGGGTTATTTTGATTTTTTTTTTTTTTTTTAAGATGATGCTTTAGTGTTTCTAGATTTTGATGTTAAAATGTCTGAATTAATTTCGCTGTCCTGGGCCTCCTAACACCAGACTTACAAACCCAACCCAGGCTCCCCACTCTGGAGACTCCCATGAGCACCAGCTCTCCATTACAGGAGCTCTTTCTCCAAATCTCTCATGCACCTCAACTCATGGCTGCCTTCTCATCCTCCCCCAACAGGCACAAATGAAAAGAAAAGTTACCTCCAGTCTCAGCTTCCTGCAGAGCTGGGAAGGACCAGCCATAGCAACTATTGCTACTCAGCAAGCAAGCAAGCCTGCCTGCCTGCCCTCCCTCCAGCTCCACAGCTACTCACCATGACTCCAAACCACCTGAACTCCTCACTGAAATCTCACTCCACTTCCTTCTCAAGGCATTTTATAGCAGGAGAGCTGAGCTTGCTGTTAAAGGGGCAGCAGGGCTCCCTCCTGGCTTCTGTCCTTTCCTCATACACACACCTGCTAGCCAAGTTTTCCAACATTTCCACTCCTAAAGAGGTGGCAACCTGGGGCAATTAACTTACTTCGAAGGAATTACTCCAGGAGACCTGTAGAGTTTGGGATTTCTTTGTCTTCTAAACACTAATTTAGCATTGCTAACCCCAGTGAGTTTAATATCAAATTCTATGAAATCAGGAAAATATCTTCAAATATTTTTGAGGGAGCATCAGGGTTATTTTGATTTTTTTTTTTTTTTTTTTTAAGATGATGCTCGTTAAGCCTTTCTTTGCAATCCTCAGGGCTGGAAATGCACCTTCCCCTCTCCATTGCCCTTCCCTAAGTGAAAACAGCATATTTCTCCAATTGCCTGGGGATGTCCAGGAGTTGCAGGACATGGCTGCTGCCTCAGGGTAAGGTTGCAGGGCTGGGACAGCTTCTCCAGCATCAGCGCCATGAGAAAGGAGGCACTGGAGGCACAAGCTCCAGGACCATGCTGGTGTAGGTGGCATGGGCTCCCCTGCAACCAGAGCCACAAAAGCAATCTGACTCCCTCGTCTGCGCCAGAGTTTTCACCATTTTCAGGGTTTTTCAAAACTCCTAAGCTGGATCTGGTGCCAGGGATGCCAAGGCTTGTCCCCACCTGAGTGGCCTGGGGTGGTGCGCCGTGCAGGTCCCCTCCGAAGCCTCTGGCCGCTGGGACTGGAGCTCGTCCCGGTGAAGCTGGATCCTGCTATGAGAGGGGATCGCAGGACTCCTTCACTGCTCGCGTGCTGGTGGGAGACAGGACTATTCTGTGCCTCAGTTTCCCTTACCTGAAATAGGGATAATGGCTGTTATATGTTCATCAGAGATGTTGAAGTCGTTACGTGATTCAGGGATAATGGATGCCCTGGAGCACCCGAGGGGGCTGAGGAGAGAGTTATGGTACATTGCGTGACGCCGAGTTGGAGAGGCACTGAATGAGACCGTCATGTTGCAAACGTTCAACGGTTTTATTTTCCGTGCAGCATATACACAAACAAGAAACTGGCTGGCACAGGATGTCCCAAAGGCCAGAAACACAAATATTTAAAGCTGAATTAGACCCACGTCATGAGGACTGGCTCTCTGGGGGCTATTAAACCCTCCTGGGCATGGTTTGGTTACCGTCCGTCTCACCAGCCTTCTCAGATGCAGCAGCAGGAGAGTTGGGGCCTTCCAAGGTTGAGGGCAAAAAATAGGAGTCTCTAGGGGAAGAACCCACGAAAAAGACAAATATTCAAAGCAAAAGCCCATGAGAGGGGCATGGAGCAGAGCTAAGCACCTCCTCCAGCAGCCAACAGACTCCTGAATAACCCACGGGAGGATATTGGGTCATCTACCCTATTGCAAGAGCTCCCTTGGGGTTGTCCTCCGCTTGGATGGTTCTGCAGGAGACTTGCAGGAAGTCCACGCTTGGTGAAGGAGAGCCTGGCAAGCTGACGGTGCTGGCTGAGGGCTTTCTATGTAAGTAAAGTGAAGAATTTATTGTCAGTGTAATGGAAATCTTAACAGTCTAATTCATGAATTATCATTAGTCTGGGTCTAATTATGACAGAAAAGGAGGTATAATAATGCAGTTGGAGTACTTATATACAGAAAAAAAATGCAATAATAGTGCAATTAAAATTGCAGCACATACACTTCTCAGTTTCTGTCTCTTCACTTGGAGTCATCTCATCCTTCCTCCTCTGGGTGTTAAAGTTGGCACCCTTGGACTGCTGGAGAGGAAAACCCCGTAAGTCGTCAGCTTCCACAGTCCTTCACTGGGAGGAATATCACGCTGATGTTACTGGTTTCTTCTTCCTCCTCCAGGATGTACTTGAGGTCATTTTTCCATGTTTACTAACATGCTTTCACATCGTTCTCTTTCTTCATTAGTCTGCAGCTTCGGGTTATGCCTGAATTTACTACATAAGGTGTCCTTAACGTATATCTGAAACTGTTTCTTTGTTACCCCTAAAACCAGTTTTGTCCTGCTCCAGGTGTGCATTTCTTGGGTGAGTCGTTTACATCTGTGGGGTGTCCATTGCCAGCTTGCCCCATCTCTGTCATCCTGTGCCTGTAGTCCTCTACGCCACAGCCCGTTCCTCCACTTCCCTGTCACACCAGGCCAGTATTTCTTTATACTACATTGCTGGTAGGATTTAGATGAAACCTAGGACCAAGCAGCTTAGCCCTCTGTTAGTGCAGCATCAGTCACCTGGCATGCCTGTAAGATACCGCTGCTGATAGCCTCAGGTCCAGCTCAGGCTAGTTGTGGTATAGTGGTGCCAAAATGGCAATGCAGTCAAGTGTCTGAGTAGGCCGTGTGCCAGGGAGGGGTTGCTTTCGCAATGCCCTTGCCACTGGAGGCGCTGCAACCAGGAGGAGGCCGTCTTGCCACCGGGAATGGCTTCCCATAGGGGTATTTGCAGCCTGAAGTGCCTCTTATCCCCCCGATTGGGGCTCAGTCTAATACTTGTTCCTGACGTAGCTCTCCGCAACGTGACAGTGCCTCCCACGCTCTCCTTCCCAAGAAATAGACTGGCTCTGTTCATGGCCAGGGCCTTAGTTGCCGATTCAGCTGGAAGTCTGCTAGATGCTTGCAGCCAAGACATCATGGATGCAAAAGCGGGCTCTTCCTCATGCGAGGGTATTTCTGGCTGGATGGTCAATGCCCACTGAGCTACACTGCCTGCATACTGAATGGACATGGGACCTCCTCCATGCCTGGATGATGTTCAGAGACCTTGGACCTGCTGCTTTTGGGGAGATGCCTAAATCACTGTAGCATCTCCAGTTCGCCCTGATGTGTGTAAAGAAGGCCTTTGCGCGTTGCTACATGGAGGAGAAGGAAGATGGGGTTTCTGGAGGCCGGGGAAGGCCTGGCCGCCCTGGGGAAGGATTACGAAGATGCTGGAAGGGATCCAGCAGTGGAAGCAGAAGAACATGATGAAGAGCAGAGCTGGCCTGACTGATCCCTGTGCATCTACTCCTGACTGCCTGGTGAAACGTTCCTTCTCTTGAATACAATATCAGGGTATTGGGTTTCATCCCTGGATCCTGCATGAAATGGTTGGAATGACCAAATCCTCAAATATTTTTTTATGAACTGCACATACAGCCTCCAAGCAGCATCACTGTCCGCCTCTTCCTTTCCAAGTGACTTGGCTTCCAGTGCTCCCAAACCCAGGTGGTGGCTGATAGATATTTCAGTGCTCATGTTTCCATCCAGCTTCCTGAGGAAATCTGGCTCCTCTGACCTTTGTCTGTGTCTCAGCCCCTCCAAGCAGCTTGTAATCATGCTTGGCAGAGGCTGAGAAGATGGATTAATTTTGGAAAGGTTTGTCAAAGCCAGTATGGGATGTGGGTGAGACTCCTCTGCAGTGATGCAGATGCAGCAAAAAGATCTCTGCTTTCCCCATCACTCGGTTTCAGTTGATATCTTCTGTCCCTTGCTCAGCTGTGCAGGTCCAGCGAAGAGCCTGGAGCCAGCCAACACCCTTGGGCTCGTCCACACATAACACAAGATGCTTCCTCCAAGCGGCCGCTGCGGACTGGGATAGCAATATGGCCAGACAGCCAAGCACTGCGCAGGGCCAAGTGGCCTGTGCTGGGAGCTGGGGTGGACACGTTCCTGGGAGCAGAGCCAGATGAGCAGCTTTGCAGTAGCCAGATTTGCTTATTCTTGGCTCCAAGACGGTTCCTAAAACTGTGAGCTGCCTGCAGATCTGGATACAGACAGCGTGGGACTTAATGCTCCCTTGATTTCTTGCCACCTGCTCCACGAGGAGGTGTGAACCCAGCCCAGGATGTGCTGGAGGAATGCTGCAAGTCACTGAGCTACCTGATGCGCAAGCAAGACCTGTATGTGAGCCCCAGGGATGTGATGTTTTGCTTTCTAGGCAATAGCATGGGGCTGAGATGTTCCCCTTGTCTAAATGAGTGCCAGTCAGTGAGGCCCTTCCCTCCTGGAGCATCACAAGTCCTTTGGGCCCCAACCAGGGCTGGTGCAAATCCTCCTGGCTACTGGGGAAAGGCCTGTTCCCAGCCTGGAGAACTGTGGAAAACCACTGCAGCTTTCCGCCCAAAGCAATGATTTCTCCCTGCTGCCTCTCCACTCTGAGCGAATCCCTCTGTTGCTCCTTGCTGTGCTGAGATTCCTCTGGGTGGCAGGGAGTAGCTGTATGCATTGGAGAGGCTGAGCCCTCACAGATTCGCAACACTCTTGCAGGACGTCAAATCCGCAAAGGGACAAGCATGTGTCTGGGTGGGTGTCTGGCCAGGTCTGACCTTGTTCTTTGTTGCCCTGCCTGGCTGGATGTAAGCCGGCACGTGTGCCTCTCTCTCCTTGCCATCCACAGGGCTCCCTCTGGCCAGCCCCGTGCAGCTCGCGGCAGACCCTGAGCCTCCTCGCTCGGCAAGGGTTTCCTAAACCACTTCCAGGACAGACCAGGTGGTTCATTTGGGTTGGGCTGATCTGATGTGAGTGGCTGGATCCAAGAGCAGCCCTTCCTAGGAAGGCAGGTGGATGTGTGGAGAGTGACTTCTCGCTCAGGGAAGGTCTCTTCCTCCCATGCTGCCCACTCCCAGAGGGACCTCTCTGCAGAGACTCATGTAATGAGTCTTGGCTGGAGACAAAGGGCCTGGAGTATTATTTTATATTTACTCTACAGGCATAATTTGAGCCTGTGGATGGTGCTGAATTCAGGTCCCCCCCCCGCCCCCGCCCCGCCACATTCCCCAGCCTGCGAGTCACCCAGGAGTGGGGGCAAGGACTGAATTCAGCCATGTTGCCTCCTCTGGTGTCCCTCTTCAGAAAGCCATGTGACAGACAGGAGATGCCTCTAGCTACTTCCCTGCAGCTGACTGGTCCCTAGGATGACTCTTCAATCAGAGTCCGTTGCTCTGTGAAGTCCTACCTTGGACATGGGGCTGCCATGAGCTACCATCTTGCTCTTGGCAAATGTCTCCTTGGGAAGAAGAGTCAAGTTCCTCTCTGTCTCCCACCGCAACTACATGCATGGCTGCAGGCCAAGATCATCTTGGAGCTGGACTGCGAGGCGAAGGGGAGAAGGGATCTAGAGGAGGGGACAAATAGTCCAAGCGAATGAGAGCTCAGGGAGCTGGGATGTGGATGGTGGATGGAGGGAATTGGGGTATGTGAGGATGGCTTGGCCAGTGGTGTGCATGGGGAGCTGAAGTCCCTCAGTTTCCTCAGATGACTGCTGGGAAAGGGGGAGTGGTAGGGGCATGGGCAGGGGAGGATTGGGGAGCACAGGCAGGCCCTGGGGTGGCTCTGGAATGGCCAGGAGGCACCAGTGACTCTTGGAGCTCCACGCTCACCTTGGGCCACGGCTGTCAGTGCCCTGGGGAAGCATGGCTGGGACCACCCTGCAGCTGAGGATGCTTGTGGTGGGCCATGCGGATGGGGCCCGTACCTGGGCCGTGGGTGATGCTCTCTCGGCTGTGACTGCTGAGGGTGGGGGGAAAGGGGTGGTTGCAAGATGGCCTTAAAATCTAGAGGGTCTCCTGCATCCTACCTCGGAAGGAATTGGGAAATCTCTCTTGAGTCCCCCTGACCAGTCTTGCTTTTCCCTTCCCAACCCATGAGGTTGTGTGCAGGGACCGGGGACAGAGCACAGGCAGGGCGGTGGCAGGGACAGGGCCATACAGCTAGGCTGGGGGAGTCTTTGGACAGGCCACAGGGCCCAGGTGGACCTGAGCAGGCACCTGACAGAGGCGATAGGAGAACAAAGCATTGGAAACTCAAGAGATCGTAGCTTTAATAGGGACCTTCCCTAGGTGACACATCCCCTTGCCCTGCTGCGGAAACCAGCCACTTCTCCGTGTGTGGAAAAGTCCGGGGCGTGAAGGAGGATTGGGGAGAGAGGGAAGGAGACAAGGAGGAAGAAGAGACATCTGAAAGTTAGGTAGCTCTATGGGTCAAAAATATACAACACTGATATCATACACAGCCATCAGTCCCCTCCGGCCAGTGGGAGCAGGGCTGGCTGGTGGCCCCGCTGTCCCCACTGTCCCCATGTGGCCGGCCTTGCTTCGAGTGCCCCGGGTCACTTTCGCCGCCCGATCTGGGCCATGAGGTGTGCGTTGGCCGCAGCCTTCGCCCTCAAGTTCTTGGCTTTGGCGATGTTGAAGAGGATGTTCATGATGTTGGTGGGGACATCAAGGGAGAGAGTGACCTTGGTGCGGCGGTCGCTCTTGGCCCGGTTTTGGTATGTCTTCCCCTTCACCTGCGCTTGGGAGACGTATTTGTAATGGCCTTCCCCCGGGAATGTCCTTTTCTCCTTCTCTTCCTCCACTGCCTCTTCCTCCTCCTCCTCTTCCTCCTCAGATGTCTCCTCTGGTGGTGGATAGTCCAAGCCACGCTTGTCCAGGAGGCCGTTCTCATCTGAGCGGCTCTTCTGGGCCTCAGTGAGGGCTGTGTTGAGGCAGCTGAAGATGGAGGCGGCGTTGTAGAGCTTCAGAGCCCGACCGGTCTCCGCGGCGCAGAGGAGGGCGAGGAGGAGCAGCACCTTGGTGTGTGGCATGGTGGCGGCCTGCACGGCAGGAAACAGGGAAGGGAGGGCAGAGGCAGCCATGACATCCCTGCAGGGCCAGTGTGAAGTGACATCCCCTCACCTCCCTGGGCGGACACCGGTCTTCTGCATGCTCCTCCCAAGCCTGAAGGTGGTGGGTTCAAGGTGCAACCCACAACCCCTGACTTTGGGGTGCTCATGGGGAGAAGGGATGTTGGGACACCTCTGCGGAGGGGAGGATTTGACCCTTTTGCCAAAACAGAGCCACCTGCCGTAGGAGAGCTGGCTCCTACCACGGGCAGCTCCCTGCCTGGGACAACCTCCTTGCCCTCCTCTCACTGACCCTCATCCTGCCTGCTGGCTAGCAATGCTGTGGGGTAACCACTGGTATTGCTGACCTAAATCTGGCTGCAAAAGTGGGGTTTCCTTCCAGCTCCTCTCCCGTCACCCTGAGGCCACTGGAGGTGCTTCTGTACTCTGTGCATCTGCAACCACTCGCTCTTCTGACCTGGTCCAAAAAGGGCACATGGAGTACCTGATATATGAGGTACAGCCAGCCCCAGAGCTGACAGGACAATCTGCCACCCCTCAAGTGCGGTCAGGCCCCTGGTCCCCTCTCTGTGCCCTCCTCGCCTTCCCGTCCTGCAGGTGAGCTGGATCCTGCCGACCGGGCGCTGCCCAGTGCTCCTGGAGGCGTGAGACAGGGGATGTATTTACCTCCTGCACCATCCCTGCCCGATTTGGGCCAGGGGGCTCTGGAGAGGGTCCAGGAGCACCCTCCATCCCGGGCACAGGACAGGCTGGCCCATTTGATAGCACATCCCAGGCATGAAGTCCCCAACGACATGCTCTGGCGGGCAGTCCTGCTTGGAAGTCTTAGGGCACGTCCAATATGACGGCACAGTGGCGTTGCCCCCTCTACCTCCTACCTTGAAATATGGGTTCTTGTTGGGTCTCGGGGTTGCTGCAGAACTTGGGCAACCTCCCTGCTCTGCTAGATCTCCCCATTTCTGATTCCTGGCTCTCTGGGAAGCACCAGCTGAAGTTATCAGGATTATCTATCTCCTGCACCTGACGCTGCATTTGCCAGTCTATCTGATCAAAGGGGCCAGCTAAATTCCATTTTCCCAGAGGGTCTTTGCCCTTGGACGAGCATCCCCGGGGGCCAGCCGTGAGGGGGGGACCCAGCCCTCCGAGCACCTGGACTGGGGCTCGCATTCGCAATCTTTGGGCCCCATCTTGTGGCAAGTACATCGCATGGCAAGCCGAGACAGGGAGACGGTCACCAGGGATGCAGGGACTCTGCCTGGCTGAGCCCCACCATGCCACGGCCTTCGGAGGGGGCCTAGGAGGCAGGGGAGAGCCCTGGGGAAGCTCTTGGAGATGCCTCCCGGGAGCTTCCCCGGCCAGCTGCATCGCCTGGGGCCGTCCCTGCATGTCCCTTTGGAGCCTCTGCAGCCGGTGAGCAGGGTCGTGGCCGGTGGCGGGAGGCCGTGCTGACCTGCATGTGGGGCTGCTGAACGGGATGTCCTCAGACTGATCTGAAATCAAATTAAAGCCCTTTTCCCCAGGAGCTGCCACCCTCCACCTGCTCTTCTGCCACTGGGCCGTGGTCACCGTCACCGCTATCACCTTAACTCTGCCCTTTGCTGTCCCTTGGAGTAAGACACCGAGGCGGGCTGGCCAGGTGGGGGTTGAGGGCGCTGCTCAGTGCCCACTTCTTCGCCTCGCTCATCTCTGCGCCACAGCGCAGAATCTACCCCTGGATAATGACCATCACCTTAACTCTGCCCTCTGTCTGGACACCCGAGGACGGACGCGAAAGAGCCGGGCCGTGATGCAGGCAGCACCAGCGAGGCTGCCGCTGCGGCCCCGGGGAGGCTCGTTTGGTGCCCACAGCTCTCCTTCCTTCAGCCCTGAATCAGACAACCCATTTCAGCCCCTGCAAGCCCGATTTTAGAAATTACCGTCCTTCCTCCCCCTTGCCTGCAGCCCCTGCTTTCCCACCGGCCCTCTGATTTAATTGATTGTGCCAATAAAAACCCAGGAGCGGGAGCCAGCCGGGCAGGGAGAGCTAGGTTTTAAAT